GTACCTCACAAATTGCTCTGTGGTAGCTCAGCACCTCCCCGGCAGCCAGAAGTGGTGGTTTCACCTTTGTGCTGAGGTCCAGCTCCAGGCACGGCTGTTTATTTGGGGTAGTGCAGGGGGCTGGACAGGGCGGCTGAGCACGGGCTCTGCAGGTGTTTGCTGTGGGACAAGCCACAGTCAGGTCCCTGGGAACAGACTGGGGCAGCAGGTGGGTAAAGCCAGTTTTCTGCAGCTCTCTTGCCTCCAAAACACCCTTTTTGCCTTAGTTACACACCAAAACATTGCCCTAAGCTTGCCCATCAGCATCCCTCACTTAGAGGGCATCTCCAGTCGTGTTTTTTCAAAGCAAAGCCAAACATCTCAGCTCCAAGCAGGGATGCAGTGGGTGCCTGCCCCATCTGCCTCTTCACCACCACCTGCTCACGTCCCGGGGCTCTCCCCCAAGAAGGCTGCTCCCCACCTGCCCCTGCCAGAGGCTCTGGGGTGCACTTTGTCTGCATGGTGATGGGCTCAGCCTCTGAATGGGGACTGGGAAGGAGGTTGCTGAGGCTGCAAAGCTGCTACGTTTCTAGTTGCAACAAGACTTTTTGGTTTGGTTTGTTGGTTTGTTTTTGTTTTGTTTCGTTTTGTTTTTTTAAAAAAAAAAAAACCAAACAACTACATCAGGACCTCTGGGAGTCAGTGAGGAGGCATGAGACCAGGCATCGAGCAGTGAGGGAAGGGAAGGCGCAGGCTCCAGCTCTGCTGGAGCAGCTGCCATCCTGTTGCCTCTCCTCACTTTTGGGCCACGTAGCCGCATGGCTTGGCCAGTGAGGCCAGAGTGGGCACAGCCAAGGGCAGAGAGTGCTGTCTGCTGCACTCACCAGGGCTCAGCCCTGGGGGCTCGGGCAGGAGCGAGCCGGGGCGCACACATACAGCTTAGGGCAGTGGTTTGGATCTCACCCCTCCTCTCTTCGGGTGCTGTGGAGGACCTCAGCACAGCACTATTCTCTCACTTTCTGGGGCTTCCCATTGCAGTTAAAGCTCTCCTCCTGCAAGGCGCACCCCAGCCAGCTGCTCCTTGACCCGTTTCAGACAAAATGCACTGGAACAGCCTCTCGGGCTGTCTGGCTCCCCTGGGCACTGGCAGGCACCCCGAGCCACTGGCACACTGCTGTAGCCAGAGCCTTCCCAGGGGCTGAGCCAAGACCCCTGTGGAGAGACAGGGCGATGTTCTCCCTGTTCAGGAAAATAACTCAGGGATGAGAATAATGACTTTTGTTTTACCTATTTTTCTTCACTTTTTTTTTTTCCCACCAGCCGCACGCAGTGCTCAGCCTTGGCCTGCACTTGGCGGCCGCTGCAGGCAGCGACAAGGGCTCCCTTCCCTCCGCACAGGGGAGAGGGGCTGTCACCTCAGCTCTGCCAACAGGAAAAGGCACTTTTAGCACCGACAGCCCCAAGTTTGCTGCCACAGAGCCTGCTGCTGCCGCGCTGGGCGAGCGCGCAGTCCGCGGCGAGCCCCAGGTGAGGGCAGCGAGGCAGGGCCACTTGCACATGACTGGAGTTGAGGCAAAGCCACTCAGTTATAAATTTGAATACCCGCGCTAAATAAAATAGCTTCCAGTGACGGCATAGATACACAAGAGCCGCTAGAGAAAGGCCACCAAGTGATAGGCAGCTTGAGCCTTTAAACTGATGGCTTCCCCCGTCACTGTTTTCCCAAAGAGAAAAGACTCTTCTGGTACTGGAGGTGTATGCAGACACCCAGCACAGCATGGGGGAGAGGGGACACTGCTGTCCCTTCCACGAGCGGGGCACATGCTGCACTTGCCGCAGGCGGCGGGCGCCTGTGCCCACCCCAGTTTGACACCAGTGCCTCAACGCCGTCACCCAGTGCCGTTTGGCAGCACCCTCCCGGCCCCCGGCTGCCCCACGATCTGGAGGGGGGAGACACGTCGGGGGCTGCCCTGACCAGCAGCAGGGCTGGGGAAGGATGGGGGCTGCATGCCTCGTCCCCAGCTGCAGCAACTCTAACGTTAGGACAGGACTAATTACTGTGGCGCGCAGACATCTGTTCGGATGGGCAAATGCAGGAGCAGCCTGAGGGAATGGGGCAAGACGCAGCTGTGTTTGTGCCAGCGCTGGCGGCTAGCCCTGGGCAAAGGCTTTCCGTAGTTCTGGGGGGCAAGGGCTGCCCACCCGTGAGCGCTGACGTGTGTCCCGGGCTTTCGTTGCAGGACCAGGAGCTGGAGAGCCTGGCCGCCATCGAGGCCGAGCTGGAGCGCGTCGCCCACAAGCTGCACGAGCTGAGGCGAGGCTGAGAGCCCCAGCCCACTCCACGCAGGCGAAAGCCACCGCCGCCGCCCTCTTCCCTCCCCCCAACCACGTTTTCATTTCCCGATTTAAAAGCAATTAAGCCGGAGCAGAAGCATCGCGCCTAGGAAACCAACCTCGCTAGCGCCCAGGCCTGCCTCCCTCGCCATAGTGTTGTGCCCATCGCCGCTTCTTCACCTCACGCTCCCCTGTCCACACGGATGCCCACCCGCCCGGCCGGGCGCTGGTGGGTGCAAAGCGCAACCTACACATGTAATTTCTGTCCGGGCGGGGTTTTTCTCCCTCTTTTTTAAAAAGACAAGACAGCTTTCTAGGAAGTTCTCCTTCCACCGGTAGTTTCACTGGGTAAAAAACTGCAATAACTTGTTATCTTTTGATTAAAAGCTGAGAACTCTGACTGTAATATATTCTATATAAAAAAAAAATTTATCTAAGGAAAAATAAAAGCGCAGTGGGTTCCTTCCTTTGTTTTGGCAGCTTCAGTCTCAGTCGTCAGCACGCTGCAAGGCTTGTATGGTCGTGGCAGAGGGGGGGGGGAATGGCCATCGTGGTGGTGGTTCCCTCCTTACCCGGGCTCCAGCGCCGCTGCCCACCGAGGTTCAGCTTCGGGGACACCTCCCCGAGGTCCTGAGCACCTCGGGGCTCTCCCTGCCCGCCCTCCAGCCCAGCACCGGGTGTCCCGGGTGCCTCACTGAGATGTGGGTCACGTCTGCGGCGCGTTGATGAACACGGGGTTGACTAGAGTTCAGAGCTTAGAAGTTCAAACACCGGGGCGATGCTTGAGCAAGTCAAGCTGTTTGGCCAACGCACGAGTGGGTTTAAAAAAAAAAAAAGAAACAAGTAGGCTAGTCATGAGGAAAACCACTGGTCTATGTTCCCCAAGAGGTGAGGACCAGTCCTGAGGGGACGCACCTCCTGCGCGTCTGCTGGCAGAACCTTCCCCATCCTTTGGGCTTCAGGCCACACGCCAGCTGGAGGACCACGCGGTGTCTGGGCTGGGGAAACATGCCCCCAAAATCTCTGAACACTGATCATAAGATTTTAGACTTTCTGTGTGTATCAAGAGGAGAGGAAAAGAGCATCCCACTGTCAGGGCTGTATCCCACCCCTCAGGTTGAAGCTCAGTGGTCTCCCATCACCTGCAGCCCACGGAACAGCTGCCAGGCTTTCAGCTTGACCTATTCCTTTATTCTGCTAAAAACATCAGCACTGTCGAGTGAATTGCACTGGAGGTGGCCGTGCCGGGTCCCCTTGGCGCAGCAGGCGCTGGGTGTCCAGACCTGTCCTCCACCCCTGAGGTGAGCTTCACCGGGGGGGGGGGGGGGGGGGGGGGCTGGAGGAGCTGCTGCAGGGGCACTGCCCCTCGCCCCCAGCCCCGGGCAGCCGCACAGCAGCAGGAGGAGGCAGCGAGGCCGAGGCACGGCCCCGAAGCTGCCCCAGCACAGGGCATGAGCCAGGACCAGGCACAGGGCAAGATCCCAGCTGGCAAAAGCGAACCTGAGCGAGGTGTGAGTCTCCCAACCCCACCCTGAAGAGACTGTTCTCTTATTAACCTCGGGAAAACACGTGTCGGAACAGAAGTGAAACCAAAGCTGTTCCACAGAAACAATACTAAAATGTCAGTGATTACGGAGTTAATCCAGCGGTAAAAGCCACATTTTACATACTGATCTTCATTTGAATTTTAATTTGAATATTGCACTTGTTTTTTTTTTTTTTTTTTTTTTCTTCCCTGTGGTAGAGTGTCTGCCCATAGCATCACTCATGCAACCCCTTGCAAACTCAGGACTACGTATCACGGTAAATTCACAGAAACCCTCAGCCACCCACCCCACCCCACCCCAAACAAAAAAAACCCACCAAACAAAAAAAAATCAACCCCAAGAATGAAACAACCCACCATAGAAACGCAGCCACCTCCGAATGAATTTGACAAGTTTTTCCAGAAAGGATGGTGGCAGCCGACAGAACTTGTCCATTGCTGCTGCAAAACCAACAAGAGGGAAAACAACGTTATTCGATGAAGCTACTGTAAGTACTGTCTCAACTGGCTATTCAAGTCACCACAAACGTTTGGGACCCAAGGACTTTCTTCAAAGGGAAAGATGGAGTTCACGGCCTGAGAGGATGCCCCACCGGCTGCGAAACGCTGGCCCTTCGTCCCTCTGCTCTACGGTGCCTCGCAACTCACCGCCGCAGGGCTTGCCCTTGGGGCTGACACCCAGCGCTGATCCCCAGGCGGGGTTTACACGAGCGCCCTTGCTGAGAGTGCTTGTTGCTTAGCAAAATTTAATGCTGCTGGGTAAGATATCTACCGTTCCTGCACTAGCCATCATAGGCTCCCGATTAAAAATCCTGCTAGGTTTTGAGAGATCAAGAATTGCCTATCCAGGATGATGAAGGAAGAATCGTTCCAGAAGTCTACGCTAGGAATATATGCTTTAGGACAGTGGTAGCTTAAATCCCAGCGACGTTTTACATAGCGAGATAAAAACGGCCGACTTCCCACTAGTGTTAGAAGAGAAATCAAATCAAATCTTGCTGGTACAAGGAGGTCCAAAGTAACTGCAAACACCTGCACTGGGGAAGGATGTGAAAACCAAATTCTCATGAAAATGGGCTTTCCCCAGTGAGCTGCTCACCTCGCTGTCCTATCCACCCACAAAGAGAAAGCGAAGTAGAACTTGTTATAAGGCATTTATTTTCAGTAAGTGTTGGAAAGGGACAATTCTGTCTTCAAAACAATTACAGAGATAATGCCACAATACTTACTGCATATTGCTTTACTGCTGAAACCAAAACATTGTCCAAAACAGGTGCTTGGCAAATGAAAATGAATGTGTTACCATTGAAATCAGTGCACCATCTTCACTGTCAGATCTGATCAGTCATGCAATTGAAGACGCCAAAGAGCAAGTATTTTTGGTTTGTACAGTAAGCCATGATCTTTTACGGGTTTATATAATTCTATACAAATTTAAGTACAAAATGGGAATTATGTTTCTGAAATCATAGTGAACTGGGCTGAAGTGAATCACAAGACACACTTGTTAACACTGTACAGCTGGATCTGAACACAGGTATCAATGAACTTGCAAAACCTGGCACACACACACAAAATGGTCCCCAAGATTCAGCCGTGCTCAGGTGGGGAGCACTGTTGGCAAGTGAAGGAGAATATCCAACACTATTCACACCTGGAGGGCCAGTTTTCTCAAAATTGTTGGGATCCCAAGGAATTATTGTTACTCCATTTTAAGAACAACTGCATTTTAGTATGTGGTTCTCACAAGGGTATACACAAGCTGTAACAAATACTGAATCAGAAATAAATAATAAAAGATACAACTAATACATCTTTTATTTTTAATATTTTTTTTTTACAGCACTGACTTTACAAGAGGATAAACAACTCATTTTTAGGGGCTGCTAACATCTGAAACAAAGAAGTCACTGTTTTATACTCAACATATACTCAACCTTTCAATAACTTTATATATGTATATATGACTTTTCACACACACACAAAAAATGTTAAAATAATTTATATCTAAAACCTACTGTGTAAAGAACAAAGGAGGAAATAAAATGTGGGTTTCCTTAAAAAGGATGGAGGAGGAAGACCTGATTTTCATGAACTCCATTCGCTGTTTCAGCTATTTCTGGAGTTTCAAGAGATCTCCAGGCCATCAACAGAAACTTCCCAACACATCAGGAGCCCTCTGCAAACTCACAGCATGCTGGGCAAGGTCACCTGCTAATGAGCTCATGTGGCCCACAGGCACCTGCTAGTGTCAGCCCCAGTGGATTCAGGGTAAAAAAGGTGGAGAGAAAGAAAACATCTCCCCAGACTGCTATTAAAAACCACAAAGTGAAATTCTGGACCACTGGTATCACGATGTTCACTGACCAGGATTCCACTGCCAAGCCCTATCTTTCCTTGCCCTCCTTCTACAGCACAGATTTTCTTTGAGTGGATTTTTATCACCACAGGAAAACTGCCCCAGCAGAAAGGGGGGACCAGACAACAGCCACCTGCACACACACAGGAAGAACAATTCCCTTTGCTTGCTACAGATGCTACTGTGCTTGTGCTGCTGATGAATCACTCTAGCATCTCCATTTATACCTCGATCCTTTCAAACTTCAACCATCTTTAATGATTTCTGTGGCCATGTAAAGATGACAGAATCCGCGGAGGATCTGCAACCCATCTGGTCAAAAGCTCAAGTGTTGATGGCCTGGATCCACACAGAGTGAACAGAGAAAGGAAAGGTCGTAAAGATGTGGAAAGTACTTTTCTGGAGGTTACACTCCTCTGAAGTAGATATAAAAGCAGTATTACAAATAAAATCAGCAATGTGATCTGCAATGGCGTGTCTGTTTATCTAAGAAAGCGAGAGGAGATTATATTAAAGGAAATATTTTAATCTACACAAAGCATTTTCACATACTCCTAATTTCAAAACACACAGTTGCAACACCATGAAGTAATTGTATACTGAATACAGAAATCAATACATCTCTTATTAAAAAGGAGAGAGGAAAAGAAAATCAGCAGGGTAACGCAAGTGAACTCCTGCAAGTGTGCACATGGGGAGACTGCTACCAACTCAAATCAGAGTGTATTCACTAGAAAAAAAACAAAATCCAAGGTTTTCTGCACAGCTGTGGAAGGCAAGGCTGCAATATAGTGCGAAAAAGCCTGACTCACTTTTCACTGCTGCCACGCAAAGACTTTGGGAAACCAGTGTTAGTCTAAGAATTGATAAGCCTGAATTTGTCTTACTGGATGGAAACAGAAGCACTTTTCCTTTGTTTCGCTCTTTTTTGCCAGCCAATTCAAACACCTCTGGCCCCATTTACTGTAGGCTTTGGACTGTATCCTGCCTCTGTTATCTACCCACTATTCCACCTGGTTGTTCCCTGGCTGGATACAGTCCACAGTTACTCTGGAGAACTTGAGGCTTTACTTTCAGCAATTCTCGTTACCTTGTGAAGCCTCAGGGTCAGGTTCTCAATTTGCAATCATCTATAGCGAAAACAAATTAAACTGGTGGTTTTCCATCTGAGCAACCTGCTGCAGACCTCCTCCGAATAAACGTCCCCACGGTGAGGATGGAGATCTTTAAACAGCTTTGCTATTCCAAGCGTGAATAGTATTAATAAAAACAGCGCATCCTATTTACCGACCAGCCCGGTCAATCGGCTCCTACAGCACAAAGGTCGAATAGCCAGCCAGGCAGTTAACCAAAGGCAAAACAGCGTTGGCCTGTGGTAGTTCTGCGTCACACAAACCACAAGTGTCAGCACCGATGCTCCTCAGCAGGCTGCATTTCTGGAGCTGGATCTCACGTAATGACGGCGATGTTCTGGTACGGTCATTACAAACCCAAACATAAGCCGGCAAAGTCAGCCAGAGGGGGAGGAGGATGGTGATGGCTTCACACTGCAGGCAGTAATAATGCCACTCAAGGTCTCTTCAACAGGGAAAAATCTTCACCCGCTGAAGCGGATTACATAACCACAGTGGAAACGAGTCCCATCTCCTCCATCACACCGACACAAAAACTGGAGAAATTCCAGCCAAGCTAGAGGTGTTCTTGTGGATTTCTAACAGTGAAGCAGAACTTAAATAGATCCCTAAGAAGCTAACTGGTGACCATGTAATAATTGCTCCCATCAACACAGCAGTAATAGCTTTGCCTCTGAAAACACAGCAGAACCTTTTCTAACCCACAGGAACAGAATTCAGACAGACATTATGGAAAATCTCCCTCAGATTGTCCGCAATTTTAAGAGCAACGGCATTCTGGTATGGTCCAATATTATTAGATGCCTCTACTTTTACAAAAAAAAAAAGACAAGAGTAGAAAATATTAACTAACTTACTGTGAAGCTTATCTTATACCAAAACTATCCTGACCTTATTAAACGAGGCAGCAATTCAGAAAAGCACTTTAGCACAGGCTTAATAACATACGTGTGCTTGAATGTTCTTCAATAATGTAACTGTATGTCTTGATAGCTGACAATTTACAGGTTTGGCTTTTAAAAGTTGGTCTCCCAATTTGCCCCTGTGATTTAGCAACATTCTAGCATACAAGCCATAACAGTAATTTCTGCAAGGAAATATAGTAGTACAGCAATTGCATGGTAATTTATGTGAAAACTCTATTGTAATGCCACATCACAACAGGTACCTGCATATCTGCACCCGGTCAATTAAAAGTGATACCGATACATTTGATAAATAAAAAATAAATTACAGACTATGGGAAAAATGTCACGGATCACGCCAATGACCTAAACTTGTTTTCTAGTTACTGCCAAGGTCTGGAGTAATATTTAAATATAGTATTTCTGCAAGCCTTCAGAGAATTACAAAATAAACTTCTAACAATCATTTGTAAACAAGTTTAAAATGCACAATTATATTTCAGTAGTTTATTTTGGAGAAATAAAGCAGTGCAAAATAGGCCAACCAAAATTCAGAAGGCAGCCAGGAAAATAAAATTCTTATTTGATGTTCTAACTAGGAAACAGCATACAGACATTTCCATTGGATCCAACACTCAGATTCATGTAAACATACTTAGTTTGAAAGGTCTTGAGTTACTAACCCAGGTTTAACATCATTGCTTCTTCCCCACCACCCAATAAAAAAAAAAAAAACCAACCAACCAAACGAAAAAAAAAAAAAAAAATCCAAAACCAAAAAAAACCCCAAGCCATTGTAATAAAGGGAGCAAAAGGCAAGTCTACAAACACTCCACCAGCTGGTTACAAGAAAGTACCATACAAAAATATGCACTGGCAAGTTCCTTCCTGAGGGTATCTTTTGTTACGCATGTAACATAAAAACCACTTTATTTTAAACAAACAAAAACAAACCTCAAACTGTAGATGTCAATTTTATTTCAGCCATGGCTTTGCGAAAGGTTTGGTCTATCGTGAATACATTTAGAAACCCCTACGTATGTACACCTGACTCACTCACACCACAACCACCCGAGACCTGCGAGCTGCAGACTACGTGGGATCCAGCAGCCTCAAAGCATACAGGCGTTGTGAAGCGTGCCCAGCTCAGAACTGACCTGCAACAGTCAAGGAAGCTGCCTGTATTTATGTGCACCCTGGATTTTGACAGATACCACACCCATAAGGTCCTTCCAGTCCCTACGGAAATATCTTGAAGTTAGTAACCTCTCTAAAGGTGGAACAATCTTCTCTTCTTAAATCATCCTCAAAAATCCAATCCCAGCTACAGGAAATTCCCAAGAATGGCGTTTTGGGAAAAACCCTAATTTCTCCTAAGGAAAAAAACATTGTTTACACAAAAGAACTGCTACACAACACTCTCCCAAACTTTTTCCTCTCCAGGACTGGTAGCATCAGGTAGGGTGGTGACATCTTTCACACAGTTTACTCCTTTCTTCACAGTCTACCTGGGCTTTAAGCTCGAGACCTTTTCCTTTCGAGTAGACATCTAACACATGATACTAAACAAACTGGTATTAGATGCTGCAGTGATGGATGCTTTACAAATACCTGCTATAGAAAGACAGAAATTTCAATATCTGCAAGCTAGGAGCTTAACTAAGGAAATATTCTTAACACCACCCCTATTAAATGCATTTTAGGGCTTATATGGGGAAGGGAAGGCCACTCTGTCTACCAAAATAGTGTCTCCATTCTCAGCGCTGACAGACTTGGATATTTCCAGTTTAGTGTTCAGAATTGGCAAAATTTGCAGGAATTCTCAACAGCAGAAGATGCTGCCATGCTAGAAGATGCAATAGAAGGTGAACACTGTAGGTTTACTGCATATCCCAAGAGATACAATTTGGCTGTGCTATCATTTACGAATAGTATAAAGAACTATTGTAAATTACCACAGAGCCTCATCTGGCAGCTTGCAACAAAACAATGTGGTCTCTAAGCTAGAGCTGTGGCGTACTTCTACCTCATACAAAGGTACACAATTTTGCTTATATTTAATTTGCAAAAGAAAAACAAAACGCGAAGTAGCACGGACCCGTGGAAAGCAGCAGCTGTGTTACCCCTTAGGATCTGCACGGCTCTGATTGCCAGCCTTTTTGCAGAGCTGTTCTAGAGTCCTCACAAGTGTGATGGAGGGAGAATTAAATTCTCTGCTAAGAGGTGAGCTAGATTTCACCACTAGCAGACGATTGAAAGGATGATATTTAATCTACTAAATCACTCAACCTAACTATCGGCACCTTGTCTGGATCAAACACGTGTCACTGTTGGCAGGTGTGGTTAGAGGCTGTTTTGACTGAAGCAATGAGGCCTGGGGGAAGAACTGCAAAGCTGGAAGCAGGGTGGTCACCTCAGATCTGCACCCCGAACAACCAGTCTGCTCTGTCCTACTCAAGGTGCCACAGCCCCACAGCAAGCTGCCTGTCAACATCTTGACTGGTCAATGCTTCAAACAGATTTGGTTTAGTGATAGTGAAGTTGTCTTAGCTTTCTTTTGCAATGGCCTACCTGGAAAAAGGGAATGGGGAATGTTTTAGGCAAAAATCCCTAGCGCTGTTACATTCAGACTCTGCATTTCAACATTATTATCTTTTTGATACCGTGAGGTCCGATTTTAAAATGCTGGTCACCAGTGATTACAAAGAACAATAGAAACGAAAGAGCAACCCTCCCACAATGAAAGGACTAGTGTTAAAACCCACGTGTGTGTAAACTCACTACAGATTTGCAACTGGAATCTGATGAAATGGATCTGAATCACTTTCTCACCCTCCCCCTTTCAGTCCATTTCATCAGCAAATCAGGTTAAATCAAATGGAAGGTTTCTTTAATTTTGATTTTTTTTTGTGTGTTGTGTTTTGTGTTTTTTGTCATGTTTTGTTTTGTTTTGTTTTTTAAATTTTTCACAATTGTATTGTTACAGCCTGATCTAATTCCGGGACCACCATCAGTATCCCTGCGGCTTTTTCTCAGTCCACGACATTGGCAAGTTATTGAGAAGAAGCTTTTGTTGCCAACGTAGCAACGCAGTGCTGCTGGAAGCTGGGGGACACTGCCGAGTTGCAGCCTAGTCTCTGGTGTTGCAGTTTTACTGAGCTGTTGGTCTCGCTTTCCACAATCCACGAGGAGTCTTTTCCCATGACGCTGAGACAGCCTGTGCCAGCGCAGCATATCCGCCCGTCCATGATCCCGCTGGTCTGCTCTGCCAGGAGCTTGTTGCGGTTTAGCTGGGTCACCTCAGGTGCCTGACCCTGCAGGACAGCAGCTATGTGGTTCAAGAGATCTGTGAAAAATTCGGAAACACCCTCGTAACCTGAAGACGGGAAAAATGAAGGAGAGGGAGAAAAAAAGGCAGTTAAGTCATTTTCGTAAGTTCTTTGAAAGGCTTCTTCTACCAGTTTATTTCTTGGGCTGTCCTTGCCTTCCAAATGATAATGAAAAGGCTTATTTTCCGTGATGTCATTTCAAGCGACTGCACAGGCAGGTTAGCATAAAGAGGAACAGAGACCCTTGCTACAAAACCACTTTTGTTCTACAAGAAAAACTGTCACCTTTTGGATTTTCTGTTTCTTTTTCCTCCCAAATATGTATGTGTATAAATAATTCTAAGTATATCCTATCATGTATTACCAAGTCCAGGTTTCTCCCTAAGTTACAAACTCTGTGATATAACGTTGATCTTTTCCATCCTGCTCCCAGGTTTACTACGGAAAGCAGCTTCAATGCAGTTTCCTTGAGGCTCTGGACTCTCTCTGGAATTTTCCCAGCAATACCCTCAGCTGGGGAAACCTCAGAGGACAGCAGGGCTACAGAAAAATCAACCTCCCACTGTGTAAGAAGCAACGTGATGCTCATCTAATCTAAACTAATTTGGCACTTAAAACGTGTTCTCCTCTACAAGCAATGTCTGAAAAAACACCTGAGGGACAATAATACTCTATCAGTGATAGAGTATTTGGTAGAAACATCAATCTTTTATTTCAGTACTGAAACCACCGTTCTGCATGTGCTGTTAAGCGATTCCAGACAATTTACAATGCAGAGTTTAACAACAAGTTTCCTGGTTAAAACAGTTGCTCAAATACCAGGAGACGTGACATTTTTGGTGGCACAAAAGGTGGCAGTAGGCGTACAGAGCTTCTGGCTCTATTTGAAACACTCTGGTACAGGCATGTATCACTGGATTCATTTTAAAATTGAACCAGACATGCAACTTATTGGTACCATGTCTTTAAATGGATCTTAACTGCTACTGCATTATCTAAAATTGTTATCAATTTGATTTAGCATTTAGAGGTGACATATGACACTCGGTGTATTTAATGGGATAGGCTGATTGTTTTAAAAAGGTCTATAAAAGTATTCTGAAGGTGACCTGGTATTAATACAGGAGACTAAAACAATAAATAACAGTTTAAAAGTCCCATGTGAATAGCACACATTCACACAGCAGCACATGAGCAGAACCAGAGACCACAAAGTAAATGCACATTTTAAAACATTTATGCTGATGTGATCACAGAGGAGAAGAGCCCCTCAGATCCATAAATAATTCCATTTTAATCTCCTTTCTCCTGTAAAGACCAACTTCCTGAGGCAATAAAAACCCAACTTCCTGAAAAACATAAGGTAAGAGGATAATTCCACCTTAAGATAAATGTGATTTTATGGTGCATTTAAAACCCATACGTTAACCAATTACCTCTTATTTAGGTTGCTACATTGCTTTGGATTTTATTGCACTTGGTCACAATTCTCCTAGACACTTAACGGGTCGCACAAAGCACCAGCAGTGTAAGACAAAAACTCCCAGTTTCCCTTTCTAAAAGGCCCTTAAACAGATTCACCAAACAAACCAGCCATTTCAAAACGTCGTTCCCCAGTGCCCCACACGAAACCCCATCGGTTGGCAGGGGGCAACTGGGACTCTTACAGCCGGTCATGGGAGCCAGAATAAGATCTCCACCTCTTTGACAGAGGTGCTTGTTACGCTTTCTTGCTTATGTAAAAGCCATGGGATTAGCCTTCAAATCTACTCAGAGTGCTCCAAACACCCTGGGAATAAGCCATCTCCATAGTAACAGCTTTAATATTCAGAGAGGAGATCCACAGTACCCTAGGGTCTTTCGTGTCTGCTCACTGAAAACAAACCAGCCTTGTTTGAGGGCACCTGGCAAAGTCACAAAGCAGTTCTTTAAATATTTAATGGGAATAAGATGGCCAGTTATTCAGTCCTGAAATCAGCAGATGTTACAGTGTAAGGAAGCTGTAGGTATTGGGCAGGCTTCCTCTGTGCAAGCCCTCTGCACATGGGGTGGAAAGGCCCAAGAAATTCTGCCTGGTCGCTCAGAAGAAACTACACACTTGTAAGAAAGAAACACAAGGAAGGGAGGAAGAGAGCCAGGGTGTCTCAGCTCCTGAGCCACAGGATGCCTGGGGAAGGCTGCAAACTCTGTGGACACTGCCTTGCTCTGTTCACTGGCTGCTGCTGCAGCCCTCTCAAAAAAGGCGACTGTGGGACATCACTGTGCTGTGATGATAAAAAAATCAAGAAGGGCAGATTAAATTACACCTTCAGAAACTACTGACAATGAATTCAGGGTTCATGTCACACAAGGAATCAGTGGGAGGATATAAGTTTTGCATGCCTCAAAGCACAAGTTGCATGAATCATGTTCCAGCAGGTACTATTCTCACACTGCCCACTGAAACCATCTTGGAAATGCCTGTCTACAAAGAGGCCTGAATTCTGCTATGTTGAACACAGTCTCCAGAGTCCCCTGGCTGAGCATGGATAGGAAGGATGCCCACCCAGAAATGTATCTGAAAACAACTATCTGTCCCCCTGAGCTTCGTGGAGTCAAGAAATACCTACAAGCGTTTTCAAGCTAGCATTAGAGGTGCTACCTGCCTGATTTTTAGGAGATGCTCCCTTATCTGGGACACTCTCTGCTTTTCTGCATCTTCCCCTGGGCAGAGAGAAAGGGACAACCCATGTCCTGCATTTGCAGCAGCATATTTACACACATAAAGTGCATAGGTTCACCTATGCTGGTGACAGGCTGCAGAGTGTGCACACGAGCTGCTGCTCGGGCTGGGTGAGCTCAGCAATGGCCACAGGACAGCAGGCTACGTGGAGCTTTTTCTCTCAGATACCTGAGGTCAGGCAAACATAAAACCCACAACGCTACGTGACTTTGCCTACAGTTAAATATCTCAGCTGGTAACCACTGCTAAATATAGCCCTGGTGGTTTCCCACAGAACAGGAGACACAATAGGCCTTTTAGACATTTATCTTTAAAATCTTTTTGAAGAGTTGCTGATGCTAATGGAGCAGATAACAGACGACATACTCCTACAGGTACATCTGCTCTCAGTTCTGATGTTACACTAATCTCAAGATGACATCCACGGAGTGGCAGGTTCAAATGAGCTTCAAGCCTGGTAAACACAAAAGGCAACACACACGGAAGCCAAGCCTCTGGGCAGTTGGACAAGGCTTTGGTCAGGCCTGGCCCCAAGCCACAGCTTAAGCTCCACGAAAGAGGCTGTAAATGCTCCTTAAAGGGCATCTCTTCCCCTCCCTTTCCAAAAGCAGTGGTGCAGAAATAATGTGGCAGGTCCCCAAAGTGTCTAATTTGGCTCCAGTTTGGCTCTACTGCAACCCTTGCAGGACAAGATGACGTGAGGAAGAGAAGCAAGGGAAAGCACCTTCCTGGGACTGCACTGAGCCAGGAACAGTGAGATCCCACTGCTGATGCAGCCCATCGGTGACTCTTTTGAGCAGGGCTGAATTTGAATTTCTCATTAGCAAGGTGCTGGCTCCATCAATGAAGCCAACCCTTGAAGTTGCTCAGCCTTTAATCATACTGGCCCTTGGAGGGAAACACAGTTGTCTGGGCTGAACACGCTTTTGGGCATCTGAGTATTCTGTGTGAATATGTAACTTCTCTTCTGTTGTATTCCCATCTCGTTTCTGTTCTGCTCATTCACTGTATTCCCATTCTGTTGTATCCCCATTGCTTCTTCTCTAACCTCAGCAGCCCCTGAGAGCAGCTCATCTGTCTCAGTTCTGCTACCTTTTACAAATCTGAAGGCAGTTTTGCCTATCCCCAGCCTTCTCTCTTCCATATGTCTGGTTCCTGCTGCTCTCCTCTAAACCTTCTTCAACTGATCTGCAACCTATCCCATGGTGATAAATCCAGTAGCTACCTTCACTACCCACATGTTCACCACCAAAAAAATCCTGTGTGAGACACAATGTAAGCCTTTGCATAAGAAGCTTCCCTGTGCTCTCAAGCCTCCTGCAGGGACTAAACCATTTGATTAATTCAATGCCTCTTCAAAGACCAATTACTGTGCAGACTGCAACATAGGACTTGGGCTGAATATCGAAAACTATCGCCTTAGGGTAGAAGTACAGCAGAGCATGAGGCTGAAGGGAGTTCTGCAAACTTCTGCCACAACAAGAAGATACTACTCCTCTTTAAATAGTTAAGTTTGTCACTAGTTGTTCCCCAATCTAGACTTTTCAACATTTCAAGAAAAGGGGAATTTCAGTCTGTGCCAAGTACCAAATCAAAACCAATTACTTTAAAAATGCAAAAAACCCAAAGCACCAATCCAAAATGCAGGATGCAAGATTCCAAAAGAATGTCCTGCATCACTGACTTCCAGGCCCAGTGTCTGAAATATAACCGCATTCATCAACCTGATGATGCCCCATCTGACACTCAATTTAGGTCGTTTCACTGCTCTTGACAGAAGACCATTTTCATAGGTCTGCAGATTGCATCGACACCATATGGTAGAACGAAGCTTCAAAGTGACCTGAGAATAGCAGGGCTGAAGTTTTAAAAGGAAGCCAGTCAGTGTAGTGATACACAGGCAAGGCAATACAGGGCAACAGTGGGATTGAAGACCTGAACTGAAAGATTAAGAAGACTTGGGGCTCAGGGCAAGATTCTAGATACAAAGATACCTCAGCCATATTGAAAACTCAAAGTCTTGACTGACAGATTAAACAAACTATGTAACAGCCTGTGTATGGCTTTGAAAACAAACATCACTATCCAGGTAATGAGAGGAGATTCTCAAAGAGAAAAACCCCATGCAAAACAGCATCAAATGAGACGATATATTCTCTTCCTGTGTTAGACTACTCAATTTAGCACAAGTGACAGACCATCACTGCCTCCCCTGATACACACAACTCCTTTTAACAATTCCAGCGGTCAAGGAGCTTGTTTAGTTGTTTCCAAGACATATGTTGCACTAAAAAAAGTGGACAAATTTACCCATTTTTCACATGCTCTATTCTACTGCAGGATGCACGTATGAGAACCTGCAAGGATATTTAACTCTTTACAGCAAATTCTGTGCACCTACAATTTTATCATCTTCTTCAGATTCCTGGTGCTGTTGCTTTTGTGCACAAATGTCTTTTTGTGGGGAATCAATTTGCACAGGAAGAGATTTTCAAGGGAACAGTTTGCTGCTTCCACCCCCTCAACACTTTTAATGGCACAGAGTCTGGAAAAAAAAGAAATCTTAAAAGGCTCTCCTGAAATAGAATTTATTATTCTTCTTTTCATCTTCAGAATGAGGGACAGGCCCAGAAAGGCCAGATCCCAGTACACAGTCCCACGCTTCAGTTCCTTGGCGTCCCTTTGCAGGGAAGGGCGTGACAGCCATGTTACAGATGGCCACTAAAAATCTGACTCTATCTCCTAAAATCTGATATTCCACTAGCACATTCCATATATAGATTAGGGTTCTGTCCTTCCCAGATTGAACAGTATCTGATCTCAGAGCAGTCTGGCTGCTGCTTTCCTGCCCCCCACCTGGGAAGCAATGGTGTGAGACACCAGCAGTAAAACTTCACACTAAGCATGCACTGCACAGTTTCCACATCGCATGAGTGCAAAGGCCTTTCCCACCTGGGAATGCATTTATATCAATGACCGCATGCTGCCCAGTCTGATTATTAATGATGATATCGATTCCAAAGAGGGAAACTCCCAGAGCTTGCCGCAGCGCCTTTGAGATGTCCCGGATGACGTCGTCATTTGGTCGCTCAAACACGCCTTCGATTTTCTCCAGCTACAGTGGAAAAAGACAGATTACTAAGGGACTCTGAAACAGTCTTTTTAGTGGAAAGATTGATTTTCAGAGGTTTCCAGGTGCATATCCACAAAATCTAATTGCAGAGAACCGGTGGCATGAAACAGAGAAAGACACCAAAGAGAAACTGCCTTTGTAACTCAAAATCCTTCCTATATTGGAAGTTCACCTGCTCTATAGCATCTAGTTCTTCCTCTTCATACTGGTGCAGCTCCTCGAGAGACAGAGCAGTGTAGGAATGAATGGAGAATCAGACTCACTACTTTAACTACTAGATCTACACCTTAAAAAACCAAATACAGCTAGCACATTTAGCCCTGCGCTGTAAATATTCTGGATATCATTCTGTTATTTCAGTGTAGATTAAGGTCTATGTTAAAGGGTAGGTAAGTCAGACTCCTGCTGTTAGTTTAATGTGAGCCATACAATACAACTCAGCTGATACCTTCAGGGCAGAGGCTAATTCAAAGGGGATATCTTTTATGTGGGTCTTACATGTACAAATAATTCTATAAATATTTACTACGAGTAACTCGGGTTACTTATGACTGGAAGATGTAATTTTCTTCATTTTTTAAACAACATGTTATGCAGCAGAAGTATGCTGCTATGCCTACAGAAGCGTGTATGGAACATACGCTACATTTGAAAGCAAATTGAGCCATTTAGGGATTTATGACTAGCATAATTACAGTTTTAATATTTAGCATGCCTATCAGTGTTGCACACAACTTAAAGTTTAATCATTGACAACTACGAAACTACTCCCCAACAGAGCTTGTGAAACAGAAAATAATTTGGAGACTCAGAGATTGAAAGGACCCAGTCCTGTAAAGTGACTTTCTCAGCAGTCAAGTGCCCAAGGACTTATTAGGATTCATAAATGTAAAGCTTATTAAAAGGACTGGTAACGCAAGCATGGAAGTGTGCAGCGTGCTGGCACTGCCGGACTCAGAGACACCCAGAAACGGTCCCGTGGTCACAGCTGGGGCGTGCTCGCACCGCAGACAGCTACCGGCCCTCTGTGGCCCTGCCCAACGCAATTTCTCTGCTTGAATTTTCACTGTTTGTCTTTCCTCACAGAACTGAGTCCTAGAAGGATGATTTATGCTTATTAAGCTCTCTGGACAGGAAAAGGCCAGGCATTTGCATTCAGAACCTCCTTCTTCCCTTTGCCTAGATTAGCTCTGGGGAGTTTAAGCCTGGCAAGCAGCACAGCCCTGCTGCATCAGTGCTTCCTCACCGGAGCTCGGTAAGGAAAACCAGGGGGGGACACAGTCATGCTGGTTCGTTGTACCAAACAGACCTCAGCCTGCAACACAGAAGCAGACAACTTGTGAAGGAGAGTCACTAGCTACTAACGCTTCGATAAGAAAGGACTAGATAGTTTTCCAGCCGCGCTAGAGGAAAAAAGACCACGTATACTTACTGCTGTTAAGACAGATGAGGATTCTGGTTTTGAAACATTGTGGCTGTTGAAAAATATTGATTCTCTGTCTGGAATTAAAAGCAGGTTGTAAATAACTTCATACCGGATTTTAATTGCCAAAGGATTAGGGCGAGGAACAGCAGATGGCACTGCAGCCCTGTGAATCTAGTCTTGATCCCTCCCAGGCAGCCCCCCACCACCCTCCCACCCCCCCAGCCTCTCCTGCCTGCTGGCATTTAGCTGCCTGCACAGGCAGGGACCCACGGCCACGCCACCCACGGCTTTCAGACCTCGGATAAACAGAACTGCATGGGGTGAAGAGAAACCGGTTTCCTTTCCTTCACCAGAGCCAATTCACAAAGTTCAGTAAGATAAAGAAGTTAATTTCTCCTGATTTGCTATACTCAAAGTGACAGTTCCAATGGGAAGGCGTGTGATAGAAGGGAGAAGCTGCGTTCACTGCAGGCAGTAAATCGATAGCACCCAGGGTACACGGAGATCCCTGTGAACCTGGGGAAGGCATTGTCACCACGGAGGAAACCAGTAAGTTTCATGGTCAGGACCTGCCCTCCTGGAGGCACCACAGAAATGCACGAGACACCCTGAGGTGACAGAAGCCACTAACATACCGCAGTGAAAGCCACGGGGACAACTGCACCAGCACCTCCCGCCCTGCACTGCCTGCGCTAGAGGTTTTACTGGCAGGGAGAAATCCACCACGAGTCTCCCCTTGGGATTCCCACCACGGCAGACTGATGGCATCACGCAGATAACCCACATGGCAGCACCCGGACCAAAGTCTCAGCACGCAGGTGGCACCAGCAATAGAGTATTTCTGCTATGCTGGTGTCTCTGGGTGGATGGTTAAGATCAGACACAGGGCCACATACAATAAAGATGAGGGAGCTGTGAAAAGCAAACCCAAATCCACTCTGCAGTCTGACACCACCATATGCTCTTCTTGCCTTTCCTCCCATTTAGGTGGGTCCTATACTGTCAGTCAGCTCCTGGAGTGTCACAGAGCCATCAGATCTGCCTAGTCAGGTGCCTGTAGCACAGCCCCCTTAAACTCTCCCCATGAGGCTAAGAAAGCCCTCCACTTACCCTAATCTGCCCGTAAAACTTATTTTTATGTGATCTTCCAGACAACTTTCAAGTCTTACACAAACAGATGAGACATCAGCAAAGGCATTTTTAGAAAGATGTCTTAAAACATTCCCTTCCAGCAAAAGTGCAGACCAACTGTCCTAATAGTTTATACGCACACAGATTCTGGCCTATTACATTTAGTCTATGTCCTGATCAAATTAAATACAGGCATACATACCTACAGACAAGGACTGTTATGGGGATCCTACTATACGTATACTAAGAAAATACATACCTGTGTGCAAAATACAGTGGTGAGCTAACAGGGACAGCAGAAACCACTAAGAAAAGTGACAAGAAATTGGCACTTGTTCATTCATCTCCTTTGGTTTGATACCTTCTCCCCTCCCACCCCCACCTCCTGGATTTCTCCAGTTGCAGTCAGATCACGCTCCCATCCATTCACTGATAATTCATTTTTGCTTCTGATGGGCCACAGAATGCAGTTTTCTGGAAAGTGGCCTTTTTTTCCATAAAGGAAATGTAAGTCATCTTTAATGAAAACCCTTCAAGTGCTGCTTTCTAGTGACATATAGGAAGATCACCGTCCTCACTGACAAATCCGTTCCTCCTTCTCCCCAGCACAGCTGGTATCTACAAACCAAAGGACACTTCCCAGCAAGGTTTACAACACTGGGCCTCACATGAACAGAGAAGCTTGGTTAGGGGAGTGTACAAGTGATCTTTAATTTAAACACACATACATAATCAAGGTAGAAACAGGGAGAGGAAGTTCTGAAATGATGGAATCCAGGAAATTCTCTCCAAAGCACATTTATAAACAAACTCCGGAACAAATGACACATGAACTTACAGTGAAATGAGAGAATTTCCCTCCCTCTCCCCCCTTTCCACATGACATAAAACACTGTTTCTAACAGGTAACACTCAGGTTACCATTGCATAAATATTTACTATATGAATGTCATTCGTATGTATTCCAGAGCAGATGAGTTATCTCCCTTCCTATTGAAATAATACAGAAGAGGAAACATGGTATGTGAAAACCAGCTGCCTTCACTTCAGCAGCCTTTTCAAAGATATTTTTCTTTTGAGCTGTTTGCTGCCAAGGCTCCAAGAACTGACATTTCCTTTTAAATCAGCATAACGTACCTGAGATTCCCGCAGAGAAGTTCTTTAAAGATGGTCTTTTCACCACTGTGTAGGATTCTCCGACCACAAAGACTTTATACAGCACGGCATTGTGATTGATGAAGCTCTGAATGACACAAGGGGGGCGAACGGCTTTCAGGCCCTCCTGGTTGAAGATGATCGCCATCTGGAAACATGCACACACAGTTGTGCACAAGCCTTTCAATAATTTCATGCTTACCCACCACCTGACTCACAGTGAGGGGGAACATCTACTCGTGGATATATATTGATCACACGTGAATTCCTTCTCAGCAGCTAGTCCTATTTCATAATGTTTCATTTCACTGACATGCAGCTCCCCAAACACTACTGGCAGTGCAGCTTTCATTTTCCATCAACATGTTCTTCTCAGCTCTTTGCATTTTCACTTGATGCTTTTAATTGGGAAGCTACTGCAACTGCAGGTACAACAAAAGGGTAAAACATTCGACCAACACGGATGATAAAAGTTTTTATTAAATGCAAGTGTGTATCGTGAAAACAACAAAAGGAAGAGCTCTGTGTACTAACTATACAAGTTCTTCCCCAGAGCTCTATTTCCTGTGGTTTGGTTCAGTCCAGTTGCAATGGCCTAAGCACCACAGTTTCACCCACATCAGAGAACTCTTTTCAGACACTAGTAATTCTTACTGCTAGCAAATGCTGGCCTAATGATTTTCTTGGCTTAGTTTCACCCCATTATTCCAAATGGATAATTCTCTTGACAAGACTGGAACAAATATGCCGAAAAGGCAGGCATTTATAGGGCCTGAATGGTGAACAACAGCTGCCTCAAACAGCATGAAAGCAATGCTGGTAGGTGCACAGAAGTACTCTGACAAACTAGGATAGGTACCTTCAGCACATTACACTGCTCTTTCCATTGATCCCTCCATGACCACGCTTATATGCATATGTAATCACCATAACTGCAGTGCCCCATCTTGCAGGTTTATTGTTGGCACATGGATGCTACCATGGCTCCTACACAGAACCAGCAGCAAGCACCATTCTGGCACAGGTGATAAAATTACTTCATACCAGTGTGACCCTTCACAGCAGTGAGGATAAACTTAGGTTTGTTATCCATCCTCAAAGCCCTGAAAAAGCTGTGCTCTAGTTATCTGAATATTGACCTTTCTTTGTTACTCCAGTGATGCTGGGCCTTCTTATCCACAGTGGCGGTAGGGCATGTTGGTAGCCAGGTGAATACCAGAAAGCGCTGTTCAAGGCCAGAGAAGAACCTGACATACGTTTTATCCTCTTTTCCTCTGGACAAAACTCCCTCCCACAGGTAAGGATGCTTTGGTTAGGGCACCTTCCCCTCTGAAGACAACAGCTAAGCATCCAAATCTTGAGCCTCCTGCCTACCTCAGCCAGTGCAGGTTCCACAACACTTACCAGAAAAGTTCCTAAGTCCTGAAACACAAATTTATTCTTATGCCTGTTAATATCTTCTCACTGACCTGCTTGGGCCTACTGTTTTACTCAGGACATAAGACAGTCCAGAGAGGCCAAGAGAATTTCTCTGGGTCCCACAGTGACTCCACAGCGATACAGAGTAAAATTGGAGCTCCCTGCCTCAGCGTGGTGCAGATGAGTTATACTGCTTGTTTGCTCCTGCCATATGCTTCCTGTCAAGTTTTCATGCTTTCTGAGATCAGCTGTATCTTGGTGAAGTCAGGGTCACTGGAAGGATTTTACAAAGAAACTTTACCACTTTGTACTCTCATATATCATATATGAACAGCTGCTCATTTGATGGATATGCTGTACTTTCAGACTGAATTTTTTGCTGACACCTTAGTTTGTTTCTGTTTTAAAAATAGTAAATATAATAGGTTTTGTTGTTCAAAAACATAGCCATGGTAAATGATGGAGTGATTACATATTTGTAGCTAAAAGTCCAGAGCACATTTCTGTCCTTATTCCTTCTTATCTAGTAGACCACATTAGATCACATAATTGCACAATGACTCAGTAGATTAACATTTTCTGAGTTCAAATCAACGCGTGCATTCAATATCTACTTGCAGCTGATATTTTTACTCTGTCTCTATTATACCAGGTGCCATCTATCTGGCAGCACAGAGTGAATTTTTGAGTGGTAACAACCTGTGCAAGAAAACCTACTCTAACCAGCAGAATCGTCCATCAAGATGATTCGCAGCAACAACCTCATACCCAATTTGTCTCTCACTGGTGGCAGGAAAAACTCCTCTCTTCCTCCTGTGCAGACTGTTGCCATTTTAGTATCTACATCATCATATCGGCAAGAACTGTGCTGTTCCTATAGTGTTCTCTTCAAATATTAGTTAATTAATCCCCACAAACAAATATAAGATGAGCAGGTACTTGTCCTGTTTTAGAAATGTGGAAGCCCAGAGAGTTTATCTTTTTGTCACAGAATTGACCTAGGCTATTGAAAACGATGTGAAACGTCTCTTCTGCAAAGCTCTGTGCTGACAGCCCCACGGACTCACACAACCCATGTAACTCCCATGCTGCTGCGTTATGCTGGTTCAGTGCGATGCCTCATGGTTTTTAGCATCCATGAATACAGCTCCAAGAATTCCCTTGCAGGGTGCACTTGCTCTTTGTCATCTAGCACAGACCTGCTGCGTCTGGCAGTAACACGGGAAAAATACTTTATATCATAATTTCCAAACAGCATACCTCATTATAAATGCAGAGCTATTTTAAAGGCAAAACGAAACATTTGGCAAAAAAAATTTTTACTGACAATGTCCTTAAGGAATTCAGTCTCAAAAAACACAGTGATTCTCTGCTTTTTCATTCCTGCCTGCTCAACACTTAGAAGAAGACTCATTTTGGACACATTTCTTCAGGTTATGAGTCTCAGTGCTGACAGACGGGAAGGACAACCTTCAGTGTCATCTCTGTTTAAGTCTAAAAAACAGTGCCAGCTAACAAGTGGGGTTCAAGTGCTGAGCTGGCCAATACAACTTGCAGTGCAGAGGCCATGTAGAACTGTGGGACACCACAAGACTAACTAACAGCACCTCAGCTTAATTACCTCATGTTTTCACTGCAAAATGCTGGGTCTGCCAGCCTTGGCTGGCACCAAACCCAAACTCCAGCATTTTGCACCTTCAGCTGTCCCTGTCAGCCAGTACTTGAACTTTCCGAATAGTCATCTTATGAGGAAAACCAGGTTTCTAGTCAGGCTGTGTTCTAGTTCCAGTGTCAGCTCTGCAGTGGGAATATCTTTACAGAAAATGAAGCGATTTATCAAAAGCCAAAGAAGGAGTCATTAATAAAACAGGCAACGCTTTCTTGATTCCAAACCTATGGTCTACTTTTTAGACAGACTGTACTGTAAGCAGAGTATTTATTCTACACTTCCCTTGCCATTATTGACCATAAAATAGGAATTACAAGACAGTTCCTCTCTGATCATAAATACAGTTTTGGATCACTTCTGAGAACTCAGCAACTCCCAAAGTGACTACTACTACTATGTGAAGTACCATGCAAGACTTCAGGCTTTTTTCCAGGGGTCCTCCTAGGCTCTAGTCATAAGTTCCTGTGATAAAGCGCATCCTACAACTGTATATTAGTCTAATTTCTGCTCAGAAAATGGAATTCAGGCAAGAGGCTGATGTATGTCTGCATTGTATGAAAGAAGAGCAAAGAAAGATTCACCAGGGAAACGAAGTCCAAGCCTGACTGGACAAGCATTAGAAGGTTCATGCATTTTAGGTTGCAATTGCAGAGGAACTCTTGATAGAAGAATCATCAGGGAAGCTGGAGTTTTAAATTCATTAACAATCCAGTCCCCAAGTGTCCTCAGGGATAACAGCAAAAATTTATAGTGGCTGCTCCGGCAAACTAACAGGACTGTCGGTCTGCTTGTAAAATGATTCAAGCTAAGACCTGCATGAAAAAATCTCACTGCATTTTTAAAATAAAGTGCTGCTCACTCAAGATTTCAGCCATAGCCATTCTGTTTGTCTAGATTTACATTTTACTTCAGGGCTTTCAGCTCTCAGAGATGCTGCAGCAACATACTGCGTGTTTTAGGAGCAGCTGGGAAACCTGGACCGACGACGATGCTGCTAACAAAGGAAGCCAGGCAGCAGCAGAGCCAGCAGCAAGGGCTGAATTCTCAAAACTGAGCTGCGGTAAGCAGGAAGGAAGGAAGCACAAATGGAAAAGAACTAAAACAGGACTCAACTTGCCTAAATTTAGGGGAAGTTAGGCTCATAGGGAATGCACTCCTTCCCGGAATACACAACCATTTTAACCTCATCTGCCTTACGAGAAGGAGGGAGGGCAGACAGTTCTACCAGCCCTGTTCTCCCCACAGCTCCAAGCATGTTATTACAACTGAGCATGCCTGGAAACCGTCTCTATTTGCTATCCCATTCCCCTCAAGGAGAGGAACCAGCTGCTTCATCTTCAGCACAAAACCATTTCTCACCTGTACCACACACATGTTGGAAGAGAAACTTGTTAGGGTGGAAACATGACTTAGTGTGACCTTCCACCAAAGAAGGGGCTAAAGGAGACTCCTTGCAGACTGAGCTGACTGGCGACTACAAACTGATAGAAAGCAAAAACATGATACAAGCTAGGAAGAACTTCCATATCAAGAGGTTAAAGTCATATTTAACTTAATTTTGGATAAATCTGAATGGTGTAACTAAAGACGAGGCAGAGACAGGAGTTGGGAAGTCACTGGGGCACAGCCCTCATTCCCCCTACTACAGGAGCAGAAAGGACCTGCCAAACCACCATGAAGGGGGGACTGGGAGCAGGGGGATAACACTGCAAAAGTTTTTTAACTCACCTCATGAGAGTTGGTTCCATGGGCCACTCTGGTTTTACAAACTGGGTAGATAAAAAAAGAAAAATCAATGCACCACTGAAACAGGACACACAAAACCCTTATAAATCCATTCCCACCCACACGTGCAAAGACTGGAGTTCACCAGACCAAGGCACTGACTGTACCAGATACCAGGGACAGTCTCTGCTTGAACAGTGTCCTCAACCACTGCAAAGCTTGGCTAGCTCTAAGCCCTGCTCTCTCAACTCCTCCCTGTACCCCATGTGCAAGCAGAGGTCATTATTAGGACTGGACAGAGGTGCAAAGCATCAGCTAAGAAGTTAGTACCAGTACTGGTATTGCCATCCTGCCCACTCAGAGGGCATCTTCACAAGTATGTGATTTTGCCTGAGGCTGGAGCTACTTTACAGGTACAGCAAAACACCACCATCCTGAAAATAAGGGAACTGGGACACAGTGGAAAGCAACTTCTTTTTCTGCCTCCCTGGGAAGAATAGGAAACTGAATGGGCTGAACCAAACTCAGATACAACGTATTTCTCACAAGCAACCATAGAGAAGGTCAAAAAATGTAGAAGGAGCCCACCAGTTCTTTCTTCATATTTCTTATCTGCTCTGGACTTCCTGGTTCTCACCTCCATTTTAAAATCAGTATGAGGAAAGAAACCACAGGTTCCTGCTATTATGAAACAAGAAAAGACCTGAAGAGCTTGGGACCCACACGATGACTAGACCTGATGTTATTTATATGTCAAGCAGAGGAGATGAAAACTTGCAAGTAGTGAGGGGGGTGTATAGGACAAGACTTCTCTGGGGGCTGTTGAAAGAGTTAAATTGCTAGGCAAGAGGACAGGCAGCTATGAAAGGCAGATGACCTGCACTAGAGTCCAAAATCAGTTGGTAACTTGAAATTTTGGAAATATGATGTCTCACAGACACATGCTCTGAAGAGCAGCAGTGTTTTTAAGAAATAAAAAAAAAAAAAAAAAAAGAGACGAGGAGACAGAAAAAGCACTCCCAGAATACCATGATATATTAATTTCCAGTGTTGTTTTTTAATTTCATCATCATTTAGAGGGCTTGATTCAGGCTTTCTGAATAGATGGGCTATGCTGCTGACTACTGAGCACTACCCAGCCTGTATCAAGAGGACAATGTGCATGGGTGAGGAAGGGGAGATCAAAGCCATTCAGTGGGCTTTAAATTACTGCTTCACAATCTAGTTTTGGGACACTTGCCTCATTTGGGAAAGCGATGGCAGGGAGGGCAAAACATGATTTTTCCACACGACTTTACTTCTGAACCTTACAAATGAGGCAAACACCAAGGGAACAAACACAAAATAACCAGTTCTCCTCACTTTATACTTCAAGAAATCAAATAAAGCAAGGGTTTAAAGCACAAACCCCACAATGAAACTTGCTACAAAGCACAAACAGAGTTCATAGCAGCTGTTTGAGGCTGTGGGCCCTTGAAGCCTACTATCTATAGTAATTTTTACACTCCTCCATCTACCCTCTGAGATTATATTGGTAGCCTGGACCAGGGAAAAGGAGGGATGGGTGAAAAAAGGGGGCAGTCAGCAAGGCGGTGATTTTCTCAAGAAAAATAATGAACACAGCTAACAGGAGAAACTTCTTGCACAAGTTCAGGGCAAGAGGCTAACTTTGTTAGAACTATTAGTATTTCCCAGGAACGCAGGTTTACTCTAGCGAGGTGTTTAAAGTAAGGAACAGCAATAAAAGGCAAAGTAAAAGCTGATAGAGAGGGGGTTTGTTCCACATTCCAAGCAGATTGCTTCAGAGCATTTGTTTCAGGAAGTTTTTAACATCCAACACTTTGGCAAATAAAGCCACACTTCTACAATGTTGGCTTCATCTTGGGGGGTGCATGTGCAATATTCAGTACCTACTAGAAGCACCAAGGAAAAGCCCATGTACATACTGAATGGGAATGCCAGTCCATTCTTCTCTATAAGCTGCAAGGTATCTTCTCCACAGGCACTTGTCAGCTCCATAAAGGGTGGTGAACAGATCCTCTCATCTGCAAGACGAAAAAAAAGACTCAAATGGAGATGAGGGGTTTAGCTTCCCAGCTGCATCATTACCAGCTCTCTCCATACTGACTGCTTCTTGATAGTCAGCTTTACTTTAACAGTTGATATTAAAGCACCAGAAAGAGTATCAGCCAGGCCTGAATTTGAGTTTCTGGAAACATTTCAGAAGATGAAAGGCTCAATTTTCAGATAATCTAAATGGAAATATAAAGCCCATATTTTCACAGTTAGGCAGCAAAAACGATCACCCGCTTAGGACTATGTAGCTGCACAAGACTTACCCAGTGAGGTGAAAAAGCAATTGGGATCTTAGCTCTTAACATTACGCCTTCAAGCATAACATAATATTCTAAAGCATCTTACAAAAACTGGTCAGCAAGTGTGGCTGGAGTAGGCAGTCTCACAAAACCATCATTACTGGAGGGCCCCTCAAGTGGCAGGTTCCAGTGTGGATTTACTTCAGCCAAGGTGCCAGCCGGGCAATACATCCCAGTGTCCGTTGGGACCTCTCTGCCACGAAAGCAGTATTCCTTGGGTCTGGCAAAGCCAGGCAGAGACACTGAGACACCTTGGCAAGACTGCTCAGTGGGCTTTGGTTAAAGAGAGAAAACACAGGAGCCACAGCAAAATTTAACAGAGCAGGTCTACTCCAAAGTGTTTCTGCTGATGTTGTGCTTGTTCATATGGGGTTGTGGGTAGGCTGGAGTCAAAACCCAGCCCTTTTAGTGACTCAGTAGGTTGAACTGCTCTAGGATTGATGTCCTGTTCACTGTAGGGGAACTTTGATTACCCTAGGAATGCAGCAGGAAAGGAGGAAAGCACTATAGGACTCAAAGTACTTGAGCATAGATCTCCACTGTTCAAGAGGGCTAGGTTGCAATTTCAACTGCAAAGAGAACCTTGGCTTCAGCCATGGCTCTGGGACGGGTCATCAGGCCCAAAGACTTTCAGACAAAAGCTGTGTGCACGTTGACAAAGTCAAAGCAAGAACATCACCCACGTAAGAGCAACTATCCAACTTAACTCCTCAGTGAGCTCAGTCTTAAAAGTACTGCCTCCATGGAGTTTTAGCTGTGGCCAGGTTAACTCTGGAGTCACAAATGAGTTAGAACTTCAGTTAGCTGCGCAGTACTGAACTGCAATTCACAAGGGGTCTGCCAAAACTCACTTCTAAGACTTATTTCAGGAGAAACAGCATGACACATTTTTCCAAGAAGCAACTGGAGACCAGCACAAATGATGGGAGCAACTGCATCCGGCAAACTCAAGTCACAGGTTCATATCAACCAGCAACTTGTCTTGAAAACAAGCAAAACACGACTGTCATTACCATCCATATCTATCCCAGTTTGCACAGAGAATACAAACAGGGGGAGGATATGCTGTGCAGATGGTGCAGAAACTGAAAAGTACATATAAACTAAAACCCCAACAAAACTATGTACTGGGAGAGCCATGCATCCAGCAAACACTTTATAAGCATTGTTTAGATTAAAGCTTTTCACTTCATTGTAAGTATACGTTTATGCATGTTCCCTCACATAGAAGAGAAAAATGAATACTGAAAATAACAAAGAGGTAAAATTCTCTATATTTTGGAACACGTATCTTAATACATGCTTCAACACTCTCAGAATATCTGAAAACTCCAGCCATTAGCAATACCGTTGCTACAAGAAGTTTTCTGCAAAAAGAAAAGACTATTTTCATACATCCTAAAAGGAGCAGAAAGATTGATGCTTTGAGGTCAACCTCTACAAAGCTAAACAAAACATCCCAGGCTTCAAAGCTTTCAGTTCGCTGCTATGAAAACAGAAAGCGGCATCCAAAAGTGACAGGTACTGTAATATTTACAAGCCTTTGCCAGAGCAAAAGTTCCTTAGTTGGATGAATGTAAGGAATCAGATTTAGTTTACAGATACTTGGGAACAACTTTGGCTTGGCAGCTCTCCCACCCATATGCTTAAGGCTCACAAGTAACTTTGCCTTCAGAGTGCAGATGCTGAGGGACGTATGGTTCTATTTCACTTCCCTCTGTTTCTCTCCCAAGCAAACAGGAACGTGAGACAGGGAGCTCCTGATGATTACATGGCACTTGCATGGGGAGATGAAGGAAGGGGCAAACAATAATTTCTTTGACTTTGTCCTCAGAAAAGGCCACCTGGATCAACAAAAAGCAGCAGAGAAGACTCTTAGCATCTCAAAGTGCTCCTGCTGACTTTGCACTGCACTGGCATTTTCTGCACCAAGAAGGCAATTCTAGCCCACTGGAGTCTCTAAGACAGGCCATTAATTCACAGCCAGACCTGAGGACAAACCCTCACTCAATACAAGGTTTCAGAATGGCCAGAAAGCTGCCACTCTTGAGTTGAACTGCACAGACTGCAATTCTGAAGGTAGCTGGAGGTTTAAAAAGTCCTCCAGCTGCCACTGATGATTCTCTCCTCTTTCCCAGGGTGGCAAACACATGCTGAAGCTTTCTCTCACCACCAAGTTCCTGCTATCAGAGTGACAGCAGCCTCAGCACACCTTCTCTGCACCAAGGTCCAGGACAGACCTAATTCGATAGTTGAGGGTCAATCTCAATACTGTTTTACAACAGCATGGAACTACACCATACAATCCACAAAGTGCAAATGAACACCCAGTGGTACATCAACCCCCTCCTCCCGCTGAGGGAAGCTGCTGTAGCAGGATCTTACTGGGCTGCAGGCAGGCGCTGGCCCCTTAGCCATTGTCACTGCTTCTTCACAAACCAGCAGTGACCAGTCACCATGGGAAATCATTGCCCAAGGTCAACAATAAATATACAAACAAATAAACATAACAGTCTAGAGGTGAGAATGGGTGACATGAGTCTGGCCCTACCACTGAGCCTTCGTATTGACACTATAGCCTAGCCCTCCAGTCTAAAACCAAGCAATATTCTCATTTACACCAGAGAGCCCTAATGTAGATGAAGACTTCTACGAAAGCAGCCTGAGAACTATTAAAGTATGAGGCCACAGCCACAGCATGACCCCACAGAGATGCGTTAGCTGTGCACCACTAGCAGAAGTGACTCTGTATGTGTGTCAGGACACAGAGCTGACACAATCCAGAACTCTTGCAAGGAGCTGACACCGTCACTCTTCTACCCTGGGTACTCAGCTCCGACCTAGGCCTTGGGATGCCACTGACTAGGAAGACACTTCTAAAACAGCAAGTTTGGAAAAGACTCTGCCTCATCTTCCATCCTTGGCTATGTACAACTGCCCTTCGTTCCCAAGAGATTGTTACAAATGCAATTTCTGTGACTTCCATTTTGGATCTGAAACTAAAACTCAGGCACTTCCTCCCTCCCTTTGGGTAATACACTGAATCACATGATAAACAGATGATCGTAATTATTAACCCTATCTTCATGTAGCCTCTACTGAACCAAAGATATCGGCAGAAAAAATCTCCGTAAATCAAATCAAGTGTGATATAGGGCACACTCAGAAAGTGCTATTTCTTTCTTCTTCTATGCGCCTGGTAGCCTCTCGGGGACCTGCCTTTGAAATATGGCCAGGACTCCAGGTGAATCATGTCAGGTCCAGAACTGCCAACTTAACAGCAACAAAGAAAGACTCTTCAGATCAGGAGAGGGTTCAGCTCTCACTTCAGGCAAATACCAAATGTATCTGTAGCATTTTTGTTGTTAGAAACAACACATCGTAATTAAATTTAAAAGTCAAAATGTTGTCACTGTGTTCCTCCCCCGTCTTTGTCCTCATTTTTATTGTATGCCTTGGCACAAACTTTGTGGTGTCTGCTTTCTATATTTTCCTTAAATTATCCTCCCTCCAAGATTCTCTGATCTCATAGGGAGCTCCCTCTCTCCTCTTCTTTTACTTTCTGCACGTTTTCTCACCCCCATCCCCATTTCTTCTCTATGCCAGTCTTTTTTTTTTTTTTTTCAACTGTCTTTTCTGCTCTCCCACTGCTATCTACACTTTATCCCTCCATTACCTCAGAATGGAGATCCCAGCTGGGATCAGGTTCATTGTAAACGCAGGGGGAGCATTTGCACTGGGAGCTGTGAAGGCAGCAGGGCAGCGGGCACTAACAGGTTGGAGGTGACACAGCAATCCTCCACGCAGCGTCGGGGCAGTCAGCTCTGGCACGTCACGGTCTGGGGCGAGCTTTGTCAGAGAACTGCTCCATTCCCATGGAACAACAACAATATTATGAAGGCGGAAAACAAGACTGAACAAGGCCAGTTGACAGGATGAGTGACACAGCTAAACAACAAGAGAGAGGTGAAAGAGTACTCAAACCATCGTGTTGGTGCCAAGGAGGGGGATTATTCTGGATGAAGTTCAACATCAGTGACAGGAGCAATAGGATGTGAAGATGGGGGAAGATGCAGACTAAATACTGGCTGGAGAAAAACGTTTTCTGGCAGTGAGAACTGGTGGACATCTTTATGCTTGGGACTTGCTTTAGTAAGAGATGTTGAGCAGTGCTCCTTCAGCCAGGGCCCGTGCACCACCAGTGGCCTGCAGACAGACTGACAAACAGTCACAGGATACCCAAACCCCCAAAATGAAGAAGCACAAGAAACCCAACACTGAACACAGACTCCCACTCAGCAGGCAGGCAAAATAGATAGAGGAAATATAAGAGTAATACATGGCTGTTCCCAGTTGAATCGAATCTTACATGGTAGTAAATGGAAACCACAGTGACAGGGCTGTACAAGACAGCCCCTGGATGGTTTTTGATGAGATGGTCCTTGCACTATAAGAGGTTGAGAAGTACTGACACAGAGGACAGCTGTGGATCACTGTGGGGAAAACATAAACCATAAAAACCATAAAATAATTTCCTCTTCAAATTTAATTGGTCCTTCCGATTTTGGAGAGGTAAGGCAACAAATAATAAATTGCAGATCTAATGCTCTGCATTCACAGATCAACAAACTGCATTTCCTTGCCTTCAGAAAAGGACTTTAAAAAAGGGA